TTTGGAACCCTTTTCTGTTACCTTCTGTTGTGTTTCTAAAACTCATGAAGAAGCTTTTGAGCAGGTCTCAAACTTAAGATGTCTTTTTAAGAAAAGGAGAAAAAAAGGTTGTTATTGTCTGGGCAGAAGTAAACTGTAGGTGACTGAGAGACTCAGGCCCTTTTAATGCTGGTCATGCAATGATACTGCAAATAGTAACAAGCTAAGGTGTCAAGTGTACTGCTGGGCAGAGAGGTAATAACTACCATGAGTAGCCACTGCGGGGAATGATTTTTTCTTCTTTTTGAGGACTTGCACTACCAGTATCCTCCCCTCATATGTAGTAGAAAGCTCATTAATTCCGTGTCAGGTCCTGCCACTGCCACCCCATGTCAGCATCTGATGTGATAGTCTTCCATGCTTTTGGAAACCCTCCAAAATTTGTGTTTGGACCCCAAGGCAGGTAAACCTCTTTTGTCATTTTAAGAGGAGGGTAAAACTACCCCAGTAATATTCTTTCAGGCAGTCATATATCATCCTTCCGTGTCCACCATGGAATTCAAAGTCCTCTCACCAAATCTATAGTTAACTCCTTTGATTGGAGCTCCATAAAATCAGCCGTATCACTGACACTGTTCAAATTGCCGTGTCCAGGACACTTAGGCTTTGTTTAAGTGATGTCCAAGCAGACACGTTTTTAAATCAACACTCCTGGCCTAAAAATTAAAGACAGGAAGAATAGATCATTTTTCTTTTTTTGGTTCAAAGACTTTAGAGAATCTATTTCCGTTTTAAATCATATTTAAAAATAATAGTATAAAGACTTAAAAAATCTGCTCCCCACACCAGGTCACCAGCTCTTTATTCTTTGTCACCACAGCAATGATTTCTTGTTATTGAGGCTGTTGCTTTATGGATGTGTGATTTTAATTTTCAATAAACTTTTGCATCTTGGTTTATCTCGCAGTTTTTCTTTTCTGTCTCTTTTGCTTTTTTAAATTCCTTAAACGCTAGAATATTTTCATTTAAGTGCTTGAAGTACCATGTGTAAGTCTAAAGAACAAGAAGAATAGGTCACTTTGGTTCTGTCTACACTATTGTCATAGTTGGTGTTTTTATTTAAGATACTCTGTATCAAGGTCATCAGTCCTAAAAGTAAATTTCAACGCCCATGCTAACTTGAAAATTTATATTTTAGCCCTGTGCACGTTCAATTTCATCATAAAGAGCTAGGCACTATAGCATCATTCGTTCACATCTCTGAATAAGCCTTGAGTTATATCTTCAGTTGCCAAGTTCACTAGAAGAAATTTAAATCAAACTCCAGTTTATTAAATAAATTGGCTTCTGTGACACTGGTGTTAGGAAATATCCAGAAATCTGTAGTGGAACCTGTTGTGCATAGGTTTTAAAAAAAAAATTACAATATGTTCTGATCTTTGAGTAACAAGTTTTAAAAACTTCAAAAACCACCGTTCTAAAAAAAAACTAATATAGTCACTTAGAAAAATATTTAAGGAAAACAAAAATACTTAAGAAAAAACATGTTTATGTTTTAGATAAAAGTATAATAGTAAAACCAGATGATCCTGTTACATTGGCACCGTTTTCAATTAATCTAAAAACTTTCTAATCCCTTTTAAGGAATTCACAAATTCCTTAAAGGGTTAGTGAGTATGTTTAATTTTTTAATGTTTGGTTTTTCTTCCGGAAGTTTTTTTTCCCTTTCACCCTATTTTTATGGAAGTTTTTAATGTGTTTATAGTGATGTTTATATAAATGCATACATTTGAACTGGTAGAAAATATTTTATAATTACAGTTGATCTAGCTGAAGAATACATGCTGCCTTTCGTCTTTAGAAGCAAGATTCCTCAGCTAGAGAGAAAAGTTACATGTGGGGAGGTACTGGGCAAAATTTCGAGGAGGAGCAATTCCTTTTCTCATGTTCATGTCTTCCCTCTTTCTGACCTGCGCCATATCCATGGTGTTTTGCTCTACACCCAATATCCCTTTCCCTTCTCGGATCCCGTCATGCAAAAGTGGTTTGGTAAAATAGATTCACCCTGATGTATTGCCAAATTCCACTAGAGAGTTGCTTTTTCATTAGCAATGGAAGATTTAAGGACAAAGAAGGAATCCTTTGGTGGAATTCTAGGACAAATTGTAGGACAATGTCCAGGGCACTTACATAATCTCATTTAATCTTCATAGCAAGTCTTCTGGAGTGAGTGTAATGCATGTTCTACAGATTAAGTAAATGAGACTCCAGAGACCTATATAATACCCAAAGTCACTTAATTGATTTGTGTCAGATCGAGAATGTGAACTCTAATATTTCGATTGGCTCCAAAATTTATGTTCCTTCTTTGTTTGTCTATGGTTTGTGACCTACCTTCCTCAACAATAATTTAAGTGGCTTAAAATAAATGAACTAATAAAATGGTCAAAAATAAAGACCACAAAAAACAGGAGAAAGGAATTGTAACAGGATTTGGAAGAAGGCATTCCCTGTAATTGAGGGTGCAGGGAAAATTCATAGCTCTTAAATACATTTTTACTTTCCTAGTGGTGGGCATTAATGGTTCAAGCAATGCTTCCATTAGCTCTCGCTGTACATTTGACTGATTTGCGAGGATGGGAGAGATATGTAGACATTTCTTTAGGTTCCAGAGGACCAACCTGCCTCTGGAGTCTGGGTAACCTGGCATCTTTGTTACTTTGTGGTGGGCAAAGGTAGAGGAAGAAGCACCTAGCAAAGCTTCTCTTGGTCACCTTGCCCTGAATGTTCTTGCACTTTGATATGGACTTACAGATGTTCCTAAGTGTATTCAAATATGCTGACTCTTATGCAAGGCTTCTACACAGGGATGGAGTGGGTTTGAGGATAGCTGGGTCTCCCTTTACTATGTCCCTTGCTCCCTGTTCCATCTTGGTCTCCTATGTCCTCTCACTAATTCACCCACTTCTTGATGTAACCTATTGCACTCCACTGTCTTACTTCCGGGAAGGTGTCACAGAATGAAAGGAAAAACTCTTGGACTAGGAGCCAAGAGACCTCTCAGCCCATCATTTAACAAGGTGTGACTTAGGCACATTTTTTCTTAGAGTCTTATATTTACCCATCTGTACGACAGGCATAATCATTTTTGCCCATCCCTACCCTGCCATCCCATGTCCTCCTCCACAGGGATGTGAGACTCATTTGGAAAATGGATAAAGGAGAGCTTGGTAACCTGAAGAATCTAACAGTTGGGAGAGTTTATTACATAAACACCCATTTATACAACATGGATCTAAACCTGTCTTCTTGAGAAGGGCTAAAGTGAGAAATCAATACCCTCCTACTTTAAGATTCTAAAATGCAGCTGAATTGTCAATTGCACATTGTCGTGTTCATTTATGCAAATATATTTATATATATATATAAATATAAAATACATTTATATAAATATATATTTATGCAAATATAGCATATTGTTTGAATTCCTCTAGCTGTGGCTCTTCAGTGATATGGAATGGAGCCTTCCCTGTTTTGTGTAATTATGGAGAATGCAGAGCGGCAGCTTTGAAATCCAAGCCTAGCACGACTGTAGCACTCAGGTGTTAGAGCCACTTGTTATTTTTTCAAACATTATTATACCATGTTTGTTTGGAAGTTGGATTCATTTACAGAGCCTTCTAAATCTGATACACATACACACACACAAGCAAATAAAACTCAAAGAAACATTTTTCCTCTCTTCTCTAATAAAAATATGGCTGCAGCAGGGAGGAGACAAATAGGCACAAAATAATACATTTTATTTGAGGAGTGTAAAAGGGGAGGTTTTCGCCTTTTACATGCTCAGCCCAATCTTCATTCTCTGGTTACAATAATGACTCACTGTAAATGCCTGACAGTGTGTACAGTTCTTCCTCATCTTATCTTTTTTGGTTCTCACCATAGCCCTACAAGGTAGGTTGGATTGTTATCCCAATGTGTCCACTACTCTATGAGCTTCTCCGAGATGGGACCATTTCTTATTAGTTTTCCCACCTCTAGCATCTAACTCATGCAGTAAGTGTATATATTTTTAGTTTTTATATATTTTAGTTTTCTGATGAGGGATATTTACTGGCTTGCACAGGGACCTATAGCTTTCCAACATCTACTGGAGGGAGACTTAAACGTTGTTTATCTGACTGTATCCTTCCCCGATTCTAGTAGATATCACTAGTTCTATATTCAAGGGAAAAGTCAGGAATGGCAGTTGAATAGGGAATGTTGTATATAATATAATACATAGTATGACAAACCAATTCTAGTAAATTTACAAATTGAAGTAATGCCGAATGGAAAACTGTTTGTTTTTTTTTTTCTTTGTCTCTCAAGAGACTTGTGGAAACTTAACAGAACAGTTGTTTGGACTCCTGGGTTCCCCTTGTGTAGAGAGGCTGTTGACATTCCGATGGGTTCCCTCATGGCCCATGAACAGCTAAGCTGAGAAAGCGTGTTTCCATGTTGAGGCCTCTGCATGATGGCAGGTTGTGCTACCAAATGCCCTGTTTGACTGGCTTTGTGGTTGTTTTCTGCATATGCCCAAATGGCCTAGGAAGCTATAGGTGAAACGCCTCAGCTGCAATTTAGCATGGCGTCTCCATGTCTTTCATAAGCCTTTGGGTCTTCACTCAGTTATTTTCCTTTATTGATTTTCACATTGAAAGGGATGGAGAAAACAATAGAGGGAAAAAGAAGATGCAATGATTTCCCCTCTCACAAAGGAGATGCTTTAGGAAGATATTCAGCTTTGACCTCTACTCATGTAGGAAACACACGATTTGATGATAGCCTTGTGATCCCTGCCAAGGTAGGAGAGATTCTCAGATAGAAGCACAAATAAGTTCCCGTCATTGTTCTGGAGGAATATTTTTGCAAGTGTACAGTTAAGGCTATGTTTTAATATGAGACCTGTTGGAAATGACCAGTCCCCACTCTTCAGCGTCCTGTGCTCACCATTCTTCCCGTGTTTGTGTTCCCAGGACCTCGATGCAGTCTCAGTCTTCCTACGGTAACAGCTCCCCACCTCTGAACAAAATGAACAGCATGAACAAGCTGCCTTCCGTGAGCCAGCTTATCAACCCTCAGCAGCGCAACACCCTCACTCCCACCACCATTCCCGATGGCATGGGAGCCAACAGTAAGAGCATCTCCCTTTAGCTGCAGCTGGAGGACCAGTAGGGCTCGTGTAGGGGAAGACTTTGCTCTGGGATGGGGGGAAGGCTTGCTCTGAAGCTATGTGAGAGGCACAGTGGACCGGACAGATCAAAGTTGAGTGGCTTAAATTTCTCACGGTGAACTTTTTCTCACTTTTAAGATGTATGGTTCATTACAAAGCACACTGGTAGAGACAGAGAAGGCTGTTCCTTTAGTAGGGATAAGGATCTCTGTGAAAAAGAACAGTCCACTTCCTGCCAACCTGGATGGGGACCCACCTTCTACATTCTTTTTCTACATTCTTTGAGATATAGTCAAAAGGAAATATGTCCAACTTGTGGGAAGTAGCATAGTCTGGTGGACTTAAAATCTAGAGAAATAGATCGTAGTCTGGACTCTATTGCAGCATTAGCTGCATAACTCTGGACAAGTCACCTCTCCGCTCTAATGCTCAGTTTTCCATTCATAAAATTATCACTCTGCACAGTTAACAAGTTTATGCGTCTGTGGCCCTACACTTTTGGGCTTCTCAACTCATCTATTCCATCCTATACACAGTTATTAAGGAATTGACCTAGGGAAAGGAGTCTCCCTTTTATATATATTCACACACAGATTCCTCATATCAACTAAGTATAACTATAAGAGACAATGTGAGAATCGGGCCTCGACATGGATGATGATTGGTGCATAGCTTTGCTGTAAATATAATTAGCTTGTCCACTAGAACTTAACCTAGCAGAGTGGATACCCAAACTTGAAAGGAAAAAAAGATGGTAAAAATGCAGAAGGGATGCAAAAGCCTAAATACTGTCCACGTATCCTATAATCACCCTCATAAAACAGGGCCTCAGTCTTGTCCTAGAAATCGTTCATTATTTTGATCAAGCCTTTAAACTTGCATTTCACTGTTGCCTTGAAAAGACTGGGTTTTCTTAAAGAAGTTAAGGGAGGCTAAGATTATGACTCTTTCTGGTTCTGATAGCACATGTTTAGATTTTAATGAGGTAAGAGATATATGAGGTTTGGTTACCTGGTATGACAACGAAGACATTAGAGCCAGACTGCTCTCTCACTAGTGACAAATACATCCTAAGACTCTAAACCTGACCCTTTGGCAGGTCTGCTGCTTCGAGAGTAAAAGGAAAAGGAACCATTTTTGCTTTCTTTCTGGTGACGTCTTAGAGTCCTCAACTTTTTCTTGAGATGACAAAATAGTGGTAGTGGTAATGATCCTTCACATTTGTGTAACAGTTTACTTACTTTTTCTTATTTATGCTTCATAATTTTCCTCTAATGGCATCAGGAAAGTCAGAGGGGAAACCGATAAGACATGCTAGGCCTATGGTCTTTAGCTGGCTAGTTGGTGGCAGAGGCCTTTCCCCTTTGGCACACTACTGCTCACTGAAGTAGAAGGAAATTACATTCATCTTTTTGTAGGTATGTTATTTCGCTCTTTTTTTTTTTTTTTTTACCTGAAGACAAAATTTGTTTCATAAATATTATTGGTATTGAGCTTTTCTTTTCTATAAATGAATGTTTACAGTTTATGGTTTAGTAAGAAACCAATCCAAGTTGGTGGTGTTCCCAAATATAATCCTGAAATGGACCAGAAAAAAGAGCTGGGGTCTTTCACTGCATCCTTCCTTATGAGGCATTTGGTTCCCTACAAATATTGCAATAAATCCTCCCATTCCCAAACCAATATTCCAAAGGTCCCTCTCTCATTCAAAGGTTTGTTCACTTAAGTTTTCTGAGCATCTGCTCTGTGCCAGGCACTGTGCTCAGGTCTGTGGGGACCCAGATGTGTATAAGGTCTAATCTCCATGCTTCAAGAGACTAGCCTAGTGAGGCAGACAGAAATATAACCCATGAAGGCAAATACAAGAAGGACTGTATTAACACCAGGAGCAGCAAGCTATTGGGACAGAGCATTAGGAGTAGAGAACAAAGTGGGAAGAGGTCGTCCTAAGAGAATGTACCAAGGTCAAGAAGTAGGTAATTAGTTTGGAGTTTGGCGACTGTTCTGTTCAGTGAGATGTAGGGTGCTTAAAGGGGTGTAGTGAGAGATAAGACTGAAAAGGAAGGCTGGTAGATTAGGCCCTTGGTAACATTAAGCCAGGTGAGATGGACCACTGGGATGCTGGTATGTGATGACGGCAGTAACCCTCTCTGTTCCTCCTGCTTCTGTTCAGTTCCTATGATGGGCACCCACATGCCAATGGCTGGAGACATGAATGGACTCAGCCCCACCCAGGCCCTCCCTCCCCCTCTCTCCATGCCATCCACCTCCCACTGCACCCCCCCACCTCCGTACCCCACAGATTGCAGCCTTGTCAGGTGAGTCCACAGCATGTGCCCCTGGGGGCCTGTCCTAAGCATCTCTGGGTGGTGGAGGGTGGACACCGTCAAAGTTAATAGCACAGTTGGAAAGAAAGCAAAGCAGCCCAGTGGTGGAAGTTCAGCCACTGTTATCTCTGATCTATGGAGTCATCAGCAGCGTTTAATCAAAGTAAACCACAACAATCAGCATGGGGAAAAGTGAAAATGTGAGTTGATAGGCATATAATTTTTCATGCCTGTTTCCCCCATCTTCACTTACTCCCCCCCTCCTCCATCACATTTTTACAGTAAGCTGTGGCCTTCAAATTGGTGCTCAGGGCTGGGGTTCCCAAATGGGCACTCAACTTGCTATCTCGCTCCCTTTCCTGCTCTCTAGGCCTCATAGCTCTCAGCCACCATGGGATCATTATTTTGGAGTTGGATGTCCATAAAAAAGTTTGAATGTTAGTAAAAATGACAGGGACTTTCAAGAACCTGATGGCCTCTTTTGCTTTGTCATATGGGAACTGGGGACATTCCAGGAAAGGGAGTTCAGATAGCCAGAAGAAAGAAAGGCATGAAGTCTGGAAAATTCTGTTTCCAACAGAGGCAAGCATCAGTGCCCAAATCTCATGCCTAGTGCCCTGCTTCGTGTGCAGAATGATTTTTTCATTTGGCTGCTGGAATAATATGTGTTGGTTCCCATGTGATGGATGCAGCAGTAGTAGCAGTGTCAGAGAGATGGCAAAGTGCTTGGCTCATCATCGAGCATCTATCTGGCTCTGTGACGGTGGTGGCATCACCGATCTGAGACCAGAGCCATAAAGGAGTGGGTCTGTATTTTGATGGAGGACACCAATCAAAAAGCATGAATGACTTCACAGTATAGTGGCCTACAGTTTTCTCTTAGCCATATAAACCATTCTCAGAAACCCAAGATATAAACAATTGAAGGAGAGGTGCTCTTTTTGAAGTGAAGAGCTAGGAGGCAAGAGGGCTGGAAACCTGAGCACTGGACTCCTTCCTTTCACCCCCTGCAATGGCTCCTAAGACACTGATATGGAACCCCTAGAATTCCACCAGTCACCATTTGAAAATCTCTGCTCTGCAGGCATCTTTAAACAGTTGATTTTAATTTTATAGACCTAAAGTTCGTGTCCCTAATCATCCCCAGACCTCCAATCCAAGGCCCCACATATATTTTATCTGCCCCTAATCTCTTATGTAGGGCATCCCAGGGCAAAATGTTGGGTTTTCCTTTATCTTGCCAATGCAGTTGGGGTGAACTTTCTTTTTCTGTTTCCTCCTTCCTCTTCCCTCCTCCCTCTGCAGTTTCTTAGCGAGGTTGGGCTGTTCATCATGTCTGGACTATTTCACGACCCAGGGGCTGACCACCATCTATCAGATTGAGCATTACTCCATGGATGTAAGTAACCGTTAGACTTTTCTCTTGAGTTTTATTCCTTAAGTTCCTCCCTCTGGTGACATTCACCTTGTAGTTGAATCCCCTCTGTTTTTTGTCCTACCCACAGTCCTCAGTTTTGCTGGGACCCATAACCATATTAGAAAGATTCCCAGGCCTCCGCCTCTACATATGAGAAGCTCAGGATCAGTGGTCCTCAGCTTCTCTGATCAGCCAGCAGTTGTCTATTGTGTGCATACTATATGCAGAGTGGGAGTGAGATCTGATTCCCACCTTCAAAGAGTGTATGATCTCTAAAGAATTCAGAGCACTTTTTGGTTGTTCTCATTAATTGGTGTAAGACCCCAGGGAGGACAGCAGGAACCAGGTGATGTTATTCTCACTTTAAAACATGGAGAGACGACAGTATGGTCATTTGCCATGATGGGTTGATGACAGAACCAGGAATAGCACCCTGAGATGTAAGCTTCCAGTCTTTAACTCTATTGATTGGCCTTTTCTGCCTTTCTTTAAAATAGGATGTCACAGAGGATTGAGCTGTGCCTCTCGATTAGAACCATGTGTTCATTCATGGTCAATTCTACCAGAATAGGGCCCAGCCATCCCTGATCACTGGGAAAGATCACTGGTCATGGGTTCAAGTCCCAACTATGCTTCTTAGTGGTAATGAGAACTTGGGGTTATCACTTTGCTTCTCTGGGCCTCAGTTAATCCAGTTAGGTTCAAAATCGTTGGTTTCTGGCTCTGATAGTCCTGGAAGCAAGCTGGATAGGAGGGGACATTTTCTTGCTTCCTACAGCACTTCTTGAACTACTGTTCACGTGGGTGGGAGCTCATTTTGTTCTGGTTTACAACAATCTGGTTTTCCTCCCAGGCTGCTCTTTATGCTGCTGTCTTTGGGGTTCACTATCCTCCTTTCTAGCTTCCAGAGGGCCCTTTGGGATGGTGGAAGAAGATACTCTCTGTCTCTGCTGCCGCTTCTGTAGTTGGGACCTCTTTTTGCCCCCCACCCCCCCTTGAGCACCGATGCTAGAGATGTCCCTGCAAGCGTGAGAACACCTCTGCCCTCTGGTGACAAGTATATGCTGTGCTGCCCCTATGCCCGCCCATCTCCACTCCCTCAATCACCCCTGGCTGCTGCTCCCTGATGGAAGAAATTATAAGTAAAAGCTATAGAGAAAGCTTTAGGAGTACGTTCCGACAAGTTTCAGAGAACTTTACAATGATGTCCATCCATTGAAGGCAGTTTGACACAAGACAGTGTGTTGCCCTGTGTCTGAGAGCCTTACATGATGGAACAGGAAATTTGTCCCTTCCCTATATTTTTAAAGTTTTACCTTCAACTGGCTCACTGTCCCCACTGGGGAGTATGTCAGGATGCCCCTTTGGCTGCTAGGATCTGCTGATGCTCTCCACAAATCTATCTCTGCTGGTGTTGGCTAGGTCCTGGGCCAGGCTCTGGGCCACAGCTTTCTCACCTGTCAGTGTAAGTTAAAATCTATCCAGAGAGTAATGCAGATTAATGGAGCCTAGTGTACAGAGAGTTTTGGACTTACTGGGGGTTTCAGAAGCATAAAGGGCTATGCTCACTTATCTATTTGTGGAATAACTTCTTTATAATGTTTTTTTTTTTTAACTTTTATTGGAGTATAGTTGATTTACACTGTTGTGTTAGTTTTGGGTATACAACAAAAGTGAATCAGTTTTACATATACATATATCCACTCTTTTTTTTTTGATTCTTTTCCCATATAGGCCACTACAGAGTATTGAATAGAGCTCCCTGTGCTATACAGTAGGTTCTTGTTAGTTATCTATTTTATATAGACTAGTGTGGAAACATTGTCCATTTATTTCTTGTTTCCTTGGCTTCTTAGTCATTCATGCCCCTGGTGGCTTGGCTGCCAGACCCTGCTGAGAGCAAGTGCAATAGCTAAGGGATCAGGCCGTGGGAGGCTTTCTGCCCCATTTATACTGTATGTTTCTGTGGGCATGGAAGTCAGAGATGGCCATCTCCAATCACCATGGCTATAAGGTATTCTTCTGCTAGAATAGGAAATTGGACTACCCACGCTGCACATTTCCAAATTAGGAAATATTGGGAGGCTATCTAATTTCCGCATCCTCACTTCAGCTTCTTCCTGCTCATCACTGGAAGTAGACACCTCCTTTTCTTCTTGTCTCTCAACACCAGTCTCAGTTACTTCACATACCTCCCTGGAAAATGAATATGGTTAAATTTTGGAGTTGTTATAAGTATTCCCTCTAAGATGCAAGGATGGGTTAATCATGGTATAACATAGTAATAATTCAGATGATTAAGATTTACATAGTGTGCCTTATAATTTGCAAAATACTTTCATATCCACCTCTGCATATGAGTCCACGGTATGTGTTGACCTATAAAGGAATTGTATCCCATTTTACCAAGGAGGAAACTGAGGCCAATAGAAAATAAGTGACTTAATGAAGGTCTAGAGCCGGTGAGTGACAGAATAAGAACTTCTGTCAAAGTCTTCTGACTCTAAGCACAATGTTCTTTCTACCTACCATACTGCTCCATAAAAAACTCAAGCCAACACTAAAGCAAGCTAATGAGGAGCTAGTGCAGGTAAACAGAGATGCTACCACAGTTAGTTAAGATCAACCATCTTTGTAATGCCTTCTACCCCCAACCACAGAACATGGACACGTACTCTGTATTTTGATACCCTGATTTATCCAAACACCAAGAGACCTTTCGGCCATTAGGGCAGTTTTAGGCTCAGAGGCGGTCCTGAATCCACAGTTCATTCACTTAATTGTGTAACTTTAGAATTATCAACCTCTCTGACCTTCAGCTTTTCTGTCTATAAAATAGGTGGAATAGGGCTTCCCTGGTGGCGCAGTGGTTGAGAGTCCGCCTGCCGATGCA